ATGTGCCAAGCAGAGCAGGTACTAGTTAACTGTTTGTCAAATGAGCATTTATGACGGGGTCCCTAGTAAGCCATCTCCCATAGCACCTATTTCTCAAGTTACCTTTTCCTACCTTCTTTTTTAGCAGATCAAAAAACCTCCCCTTCTACTTCAAGGTAAAAATAAGAGCTCAATACCAATACGTGGGATTGAATCCCTTGAATTACCAACCTCTCTCCCCCATTAATTTACTAGTATCTGTTCATCCTTGACTCTTCCCTTTCACCCAGATATCCAATCGTTCCACAAATATTTGAGGATTTCATATGTAGGAGGCAGTGTCTAAAAATAATGTGTTGGGGTGGGGCATAAAAGACAAAGGGAACAACCTGAGCAATGAGGACAGAGGACTTTTTTTTTTTTTTAGACAGAGTCTCAAACTGTCACCCTGGGTAGAGTGCCGTAGCATCATAGCTCATAGCAACCTCCAACTCTTGGGCTCAAGTGATTCTCTTGCCTCAGCCTCCCAAGTAGCTGGGACTATAGGTGCCTGTCACAATGCCTGGCTATTTTTAGAGATGGGGGTCTTGCCTTTGCTCAGGCTGGTCTTGAAATCTGCGAGCTCAGGTGATCCACCTGCCTCAGCCTCCCAGAGTGCTAGGATTACAGGCATAAACCACTGCACTTGGCCTCTGTTAAGAGCAATTAAGAAGCAAGAGAGCTCAGAACCACTGTTTTTAGAATGTTACAAAAATGAAACTAACATTACTGACCATAAAACTTTTGTTTGTATCTTGCATCCAGTACAGGTCTATAAAAATGACATGAAAAGGACTTTATAAACTACCTGTACATCACAATACATCCTTGTTCTCTTCCTCCTTTTGGCTACAGGTTACCACTGGTATCACTTTCTAGTCAAAATGCCAGAAGTAACAAAAATAAAAGTCAGCCAGATGTGGTGGCATGTACCTGTAATTCCAGCTACTCAAGAAGCTGAGCTGAGAATTACATAAGCCCAATGGTTCAAGGTTACAGTAAGTACTCCAATCTAGGCAACAGAGACTCTGCTTTTTTTAAAAAAAAAAAAGCCAGAGCCGGCTCGGTGCCTGTGGCTCAAGCGGCTAAGGTGCCAGCCACATACACCTAAGGTGGTGGGTTCGAATCCAGCCGGGGCCGGCCAAATAATGATGGCTGCAACCAAAAAAAAACAGCTGAGCACTGTGACAGGCACCTATAGTCCCAGCTACTTGGGAGGCAGAGGCAGAAGAATGGCTTGAGCCCAGGAGTTGGAGGTAGCTGTGAGCTGTGATGCCACAGCACTCTACCCAGGGCGACAACTTGAGGCTCTGTCTCAAAAAAAAAAAAAAAAAGTGGGGAAAATAACACCAACCTCATATATTGGGAAAATTAAAAAGAAATTTATTTAACAAACACTTAAGTAGCACTTAACGATAAGCAAGACCTATTCTATTTTACAATTAACACATTTAATCTTCCCCAAAACCCTAAGAGATAGGAACTATTATCTTTATTTTATGGATACAGTAACTGAGGCACAGCAAAATAACTAAAACATACTGGAGAGGCGGGCACAGTGGTTCACACCTATAATCCTAGCACTCTGTGATGGAAAGGTGCATGAATTGCCTGAGCTCACATGTTCAAGACCAGCCTGAGCCAGATTAAGACCTCATCTCTGAAAATAGCCAGGCCTTGTGGTGGGCACCTGCAGTCCCAACTACTTGAGAGGCTGAGATAAGAGAAATGCTTGAGCCCAAGAGTATGAAGTTGCTGTGAAGAAGGGTAGGTTTGGCTCGGCGCCTGTGCCTCAAGTGGCTAAGGCACCAGCCACATACACCTAAGGTGGCAGGTTCAAATCCAGCCTGG